AGACTGCTCAGTTTGCTCTGTGACTATCTCTCTGTGCCCCCCATTTGAAAAGTCAGCAGCCACCTCTGCCCTAGAGCCAATATTGGCATGAGAATAAAACCAACAGATTGCCAGTTGAATATACTCTAACAGAGGCCCCTTAAAGCTGGTGAATTTTGAGAAAGGCCATCAGCATCTCTGTACCAATATTCCTCTATCTAGTTTTCTATCTTGTGTTTCTGCCATTATTTGTCTGTCTCAGCCACAACCTCTTGATCTCTGAAGGCTATTTTGGTATTGTTAGTATGCCCTTCCCACCTCATTTATTTCTATCCTTTCTGTTTATCCTGGTACTTGTGCTTTTTATCAATACCATCTGCAAACTCCTCATATTTGTTACTGGTTCTTCCAAATTAGAAAATTTTGTCTCTGTACACTCCTTTGCAAAGGGTATCTGGAGTAATTTTCAGTAACAAAGGAAATATCTTTATTTGATATAAACTATCCAGAATGAAAGGCTGAAGCAAACAAGAAGGCTTTGTAATAATACATCTGACAAATAATATGATTCCAGGAGATTTTCTTCTAAAGATATCTAAAAGCATTTACACCAGCTTTCATTAAAGGAAGGGAGCCTTAATGAACATTATTTATGATAGGACAGTGTTTTATGGAAGAGAAGAGAACAGCCTGCAAGTTGATAAAGCCTTTTAACCTCTTTCTGCAGTGCTTAGAAGCCTTAACCAAAATATATAAAAAGGTTCTTAGCTGACCTTTACATAACGACTGTTTCTTTGAACGAATCTTTGAACTGTTGTCTCAAAGATTCAGGCCACAGATTTCTGCATCCAAATTGTTCTACGTGCTTAGAAAAAAAAAAAAAATCTAAAACTTTGGAAAGCAGCAAAAGCAGCACACAGCTATGACCCAAAAAATCCAGGTGCATTCATCTTTGTCTACCATCCAAAGCTTGTCCGTAGAACTGAATTTGTGACATTGTCCCCATAAAGTGACCAAGCTCTTCATGGTCCTTGGGTCTAGCCTCAAGCTCCCTTTCAAAATTTCTTGTGCCAGGTCCACATTGGTTTGGGTGTATTTTGAGCAGCACTTGACCCCAGCACTGACAGGCACTTTATCAGTGCAACAAAGCATCTCTGTTCTCACAGGAAACAGAAGCAGTCAGCTGTCAGAAAGCAGCCAAGACTTCATGCAGTCAGAGACTGAGAAGAGAGGAATTGTCAGCTTTACCTTGATAAGCCCCATGAGTGTGAAAGACATGTCACATGTAATTTCCATTACAGAGATCATCAGGATTCCATGAGAAGCAAGAATGAGTGGAAAAATCAGGCATATAGAAAATTATTCAGACCAGAAACCTTCGACAGTTCCAGGTGTGCCCATTTTCCATAGGAATTAAGAGGATTCTCAACATTATCTTGCAAGATCAAGAGAAGAACATCTATTACAAAGTACATCAAGATAACAAGGTAACATTTTCAGATTAACCTTCCTATATTTTTTCCCCTCCAGCAAAAAAGATGAGAAATCCTCTCACAGTCAGAAAGCAGTTTTAGTATCATCCAAAAATGCTTTAGTCCTTTTCCACTTAGAATCATCTTCCTATTTTACATAAAGCAGTGTACTACACCCTCCTCACCTTTCCCTGTCACTGGCAACTTGATCTGCAGGTACAAGCATCTTCTTCCTTCCTGCCAGGGGAAGGATATGGACTGGTGGAGTATCCCTAGTTGGTGAATGAAGTCAGCTTTCAGAGGCAGACCCCCAGATGTCCTTACAGTGAGAGACCAGAAACAAGCTCTTCAGCAGCAATTTGAATTGTGTAAGCTGCATGAGTTACAGCAAAGGTGCTGGCATGCACTGTGCCATCATGTGGAAAGAGCCATCCAGGGGCTGACTGCAACAGGGCAATGAGGAGGACTGGCCATCAGCTGAACACCTGCCACTCCTTTTTCTCTTCCTGAAGCACAGCAATGAATAATAATCTACAGTAAATATTTGCACTGCAGTAGCACATGTCACATCCTTGAATTTAGGGTTTATCAGATAAGAAGTCATCTTTCTGAAGTTGGATGTTTAGTGTCAGCTGGGGCAGACGCAAGGAGCCACAAAACCCAGACATTGTTTGTGCTTGGTTTCCAGGCTCTGACTTTGTTTTGAAGCTAGCTGCAGTTAAGGAAGGAAACAAGCTTTTGTTATTTGCATTCACCTTCTCACACAAAAAAACCTCTGCACCTGAAAGCTGGTAACAGCAGAGCATATTTGTACAAGTTAAAAATACTATTTCACTTTAGAAAAATAATACCCTCTTGAAAACTAAAATTAGTTGAATAAGTGGTGTAATCTACTTATAAAATCTTTCAGACCAGTGCTACCCCTGGACAAAGTGTTTGCTCATCAATACAGTGCTAAAATAGCACCACTGCAGAAGGCCAGTGAATGCTTTAAAAAAAAAGCCTAGTTTTAAGAACTCAAGTGACATACTAGTTACTTTTGCAAGATAAGTAGAAGAAAAATCTTCTCGTATCAATCAGTATGAAAATGTAATTAAATTCAGTGCAACAGTAATACCTTTTTCTCCTAGAACCTAAGATATTGGAAATTAAACTGAGTGTGCAATATTTAGTTATTTGTAATAACTAAATTACAAATAACTAAGTATTTGGTATTTACAATTTTCACCTAGAAAGAGCACAGTCCACATTTTTGTTACATATAATCCATTTCTGTTCTGCTTTACTGCTTAGAAAAAGGAGGCTCACAAAGCTTTACATTGGCAATAAAAATCTCACTCCAGTTCGGACTTCTTTGCAGTACCCAGCAGGTGGAGTCAATGCTCCATCAAACCAAACATCAGTGTCACTAAAGCAACCGCCACAAAAGGAGGAACACAAAACCAGGGGTCCTTAAACTGTAAAAAAAGAAACCCAAAACCAGAATAAACTACTTTCCCCATTATCTACCTTCTCTAGAGAAGCAAAAGCACGGCACACTAATTCAAACACTCTTCTGCCCTCCAGAATTGTGGATCTGTCCATCAGCATGACCTTGCAGTCCAGGAGCATCTAGGTCCCCAGGCCTGGGATGGGATATCTCACAAAGCAGCCCAGGTGTCTCTACCACAAACAAAAGGCCCCTTTGCTTTGTCCTGCCCCATGCACCTCCCCACTGCATTTCCCAGCCTCTCTCACCACACATGTGCCCACAAGGAGTACTCAGTAGCCAACTCCAGAACAAACCTCAGTGCCTGTGGCACGGACAGAGCTCCTGCTCCAAGGGGTGCTCAGCCAGACAGCAGGCATGAGCACACAGGGCACTCACCCGGGAGGTGGGAGACCAGCAGCAGGGAGCTGGCAAAACAGGGCTGTTCTGCTGGGGAGGACAGACCAGGATGCACAGGTCACCATGCCGCAGCATCGTCACCACCACAAAGCACCCTGCCAAGCAGCACGAGCAGAGCTGGTGGCAATAACATGTCCCAGCATCAGCCCACTGACCATCAGACATGCAAAGGCAAAGCAGCTCCTAGGGCAAACCATGAAATCTGGTAGTGGGGTGAAAGCTGGATGCAGGAGGAGAGGTTGATGAGGGTAATTAGTCTATTAGCACCTTCACTCTGCCAGCTGGCTCTCCTCAGGCTGCTTTGAGACAAAGGTTTACCTCTGGTCTATGAGGGCCAATAGACACTTTGGTTTCTGAAATTCAGGTTGCATTTTGTCAGCTAAAAGAGTTTCTACTTGTAATAAATATTTCTATCAGCCTTCTGACTCTCCTGACTCCTGATCTGTATCTTGTGTTCACTTTTCCTGCAGCCCCAGCAGCCTGTGCACACTTCTCCCCAGCACACAGCAAGGTCTGCCTGATGACACCCATGCTGTCCTGTGTCCTGCCCCAAGATCCCATGTCTCTGTCGAGGTCTATCAGCATCTGCTTGTTAAATAGGCCTTGGCTAAACAAGCTCAAGCCTCCAGCCCCACTGAGCTCCGATGCTGCTGAAAAAATCCAAACCCCCCAACCCACCATCTCTTCAGCTGAAAATAGACCTATTTGGATTGCTGCCTGAGCAAATGGAGTTGTAACTGTGCCCATATTTGCACCATGTTTCACCAGTTGAACAGATTCTTCTTCTCTGGGGTGGCAAAGGACACCTCTGTAGTGTGAAGAAAGTCGCTTTGGATTTTCCATCTCCCTCCACATTGAAGGTTATTGTAGCTGGGGCAGGAATATTTTGGCGATGCTTCCTTGCCAGCCATTTCCCTCACAGCAGTTTTATTTATATAAGTGTGTGTTGACAGACACCCAGCTGTGTGTGCTGGGGGATTATCACATACCCCCAGAGCTGGCACAGCCCTCTGCATGCTGCCTGTGTCTGGCAGGGCTGCGTTTCTGCTGCTGGAGTGAGAGAACTCTGGTTTGTCTCTGTAGATAAAACAAGGTGGGAAGCTGCTGGGCCACTGGGCAGGCATTTATTTATGCAAGTGCTAAGATAAGGTGAGCTCTTCCACCCTTTTCCACAGGTCCCAAATTGTCTCTGTGCATTTACTGACTGCTCTGGTCATTCAGCTGCCGCCCACCAGTCCCACCCATTTGCCAGCACTATTTATACCACAGCTCTAGTGTTTCAGAGGGGTTGGAAACTGAGCACCACGGTGCCATGGTAATCGGGATGCTTCCAGAGCCCCAGAAAGAGAGCCAGAGTGAGGGAGGCAGTTGGAGGCAGCGAGTGCCCAGGGAATACGGCTGAAGCAGCCCACGAGCTCCCAAAGCTCGACGGAGAGACGCCTGTGAGCCAAGCCTGGGCAGAGTGAGGCTGGGCACTGGGGCTGCCAGGACAGCAGGAAGAAAAGGGAGGTTTTGTCAGCGCCAACAGAGCATGGTTTGATCCCACTGACCACAGCAGACAAAGGACAAAGGGCGGCAGATGCCAAGGAGTAGGCTTTAATTGCCTGGGGAGCCTTCCCGTTACAGCCGAGTAACACTCCAAAAACGCAAGAGGCAGTTAGAGGGGCTGTTTATCTTTTTATTATAAATTTGGTATGAATGACCAATGGAAAAATCACAATGGAGTACCAAGAACATTTTATCAAAATTTTAGCAGCATTTAAACAGTAATAGATTCCCAACCTCCTCTGGGCACCCCTTGCCCTTTGCCTCCCACGCATAAATCAGTAACCTTCACTCAAATGTGCTTTCCAAAGGCATGCAGGGGATGTAGCTAGCCATTTTCCCCTGAGCTGCCATGAAAAAAATCTCATCCCAAATGATGATTATCATTCAACCTCCATCCACACAGGGCCAGGCTCCCTGTCCCCTCCCTGCTGTAGGCGGCACAGCAGGAGGCTGGCAGGCTGTGAGACTTGCCAGGGGGGAGGCAGCACCTGCTCACGTCCTCCCCTGCATGGATCATTCTCCTGTGGGCGCCCATTACCTCCAAGCACACAGCCAGGGCTGAGCCCTCTCCCGCCCGCTGCTGCCCTTCGCTTCCATACGCGGGGGTGCCGTGCGCTCCACGGCCCCGCTCCTGTACCTGAGAGTGTGTGCTTGTGTCTGCATGGAGAGAAGGAGGGAGGCTGATGGTCTGTCCTCCCGCAGGAATCCAGAGCAGGGCAACCAGGAGCTGAGACTTGAAGGGGAAAGGTAGAAGGTGAGCAGTGAGATACTCAAGTATCAACCCACAAAATGAAGTCAGTCTACTGTCAGCTAATGTGGAGAGCCATGGGCTGCCTACTAAGTACGAGAACTGATTTTTTGTGTGCGCTTTTTTTTTTTTTTAAGTAACATTAAGACATGAACAGTACTATCCCAGCCTCACTGGCTGGAGCTTGGTGACACGTTGAATCAGAGGTGGGGAAACACAACACACATGGAGACAACAACATAGTAACGGCAAGCTATTCCCCTGCTTCTTTGGTACTTCCTAAACTTTCTTATCCAAAATATATAAGGGAAATGCACCATTTAAAAGTTACTGTTCATAAGTATTTACACAGCCATAACCATCACGCTATGATACACGAAAATCAATATGATATGAACAAAGTTATTTTATGAAAAGCACTTCTGCACATTTTATTTTGTTCCAGTATCTTAATAGCTTTAAAAAAGTCATGTATTACGCAGTCCTGTACCTCGCTTCTTCTTATATCAAATGGACAAGAAACATTTCCTAATCCATACTCTTCTTCAAAAGATTAAAAAATAGCCACCAAAATGATACACTATGTACAAATTTTACTAAATATTAAGTTCTAGGCAATTATTTTCACCCCACTGATGATATAACTTAGGTATTGTTACCTACTATATGCATATATATTTCTTTAATATATAAGAAATGGCACCACATCACCATGTCACCAATATGACACATTGTTATGTACAGTAGATAAGAAGTTAGGTATGGAAGATGGATCCTCTCTGACTGCTTCTTTCACGGGAACACTTCTCCCATCGGTAGTAGCTCGGCCATTTCCCCTTTTCCCAGCAGAGGAAGCTCCTCAAATGTAAGGCAGGATCCCGTACATCAGCAGTGCCATCACGCCGGCGCTGAACAAGCCGGCCACCGGCACAGTCACAAACCAGGCCAGGAAGATGTTGCGGAAGAGGCGCCAGTCGACGGCTTTCTTGGAGCGGATCCAGCCGACGGCCACCACGGAGCCAACCTTGGGAGCGTGGGGAAGAGAGAGGGAGACAAGGTGTGAGGAGTAGGTCTGAGCACCTGCAACATGCCCATGGCCACACCAATGCCAGTCAGCTGATACCAAGTGATGCTCTGAGATAAAGAAGCCCCTGAGGATGACAATGGCGCTGTTCTGGTGTGGAGGCAGGAAGGTGAAACTTTCAGGGTACTTAAATCTTTGTTTTTCAATGTTGTCCTATTTTTCATGGGTCTTGGGGTCTGCCAAAGGCAATAAAATATGTTGGTGAAATTTTCTCTTCCCTGCTAACTCCTACATGAGCCTTCAGGGCAACTGAGGCAGCCCTCCACCTGGCTCAGTCCACAGGGGAGAGAGCAAGTGTCCAATGGCTCTGGCCTGATTGCAGTTTAAATCAGGAAAACACCAGGAAAGCTGTTTTTAAGGTCCTGCACGAGAGCATCACATGGGGCAGGCCAGGACAGCTAGTTCCTGTCCCATCTGCCTGTCCTCTCGCTGGTTTGGGATGCCCTGCCTGTTCACCCAGCCCCTGCTGAGCCTCTCTGTGCAGCTCCCAGCCCAGCATACAGCACTGACTCAAAACCTCACATCCATATTCCAACACTGCAGGCTACAAACAGGATGGCAGTGGCAAGCTAAAAGCAGCTGAGCCCACTCTGTGGCAGTGATGGTGACTTGGCAGGGGGCAGAAAGGCAGTGCAGGCTTAGACCCAGTACATCAAACCCATCAATCTGAGCCCTGTGGGGGAAACAAATTCTTCTGGACCAGCTAGCCAGCCAAAGCATCCAGAACTAAAATCTTGTCCTGCAGACAAAGGCACCAGACTATATTATGGGGTACACTAACTGTTCACATACCAAGAGGATGGTGGGGAATGGATAAAACACCAAGATATCCTTCAAAGACACTACTACCAGGGCAGCTGGGTAGGTCAGTGGTTTTGTAGACAAAAACACACTGTGTTATGGCCAATGCTGCAACCTTTTCTTCCTTCAAAGGTATTTTCAGTTCATAAGCTCAGGAATAAACCCAGCATACCAGTTTTTAAGAACAGAAACTGGACTGAGAAAAACATTTTCAATGAAAAATGACACAAAAATATCAGAAAGACTACGTTTTCTTTCTGCCCTGGAAGTGCTTTCCATGCTGTTAGCAAAATAGTGTAAGTCTATTCAAAGTGCATGGTAAAGCAGCAAGAAATGTGGATGAAATATCCTGTTTTGAAGGTAAGGAAACTCCAAGACACAGCTGGGCAGGTGCTCCCTGAAGTGCCATCCCTGCCTCCCTGCTTATTTTCTTAATGGGAGTATCTGTCCCTGCCTATAGATCAAAAGATGGGCTGCTCCCCTTGCACAGAGCCAGGAAAATTATACATTCCAGGAATACAGGGAATCAGGGAAAGATAGCAAGGGGATATAAAATCTGCATGTTTTGCTAACACCTGTTTAGCTTCTAACTACTGCTTAACATTCATTTTTGGAGAAGAGTTACTTGTGGAAAACCCTGTAACAGAAGAAGGGAAAACTAAACTTGATATTCTATGACCAGTAAGTCCTCTGTTGAAAGCTTGACCCAGTAAGGAAATCTGCTTGATAATATTTCATCTGAATACTCCTAGAGTGAACAATATGCTGTTCTGCAATTAGGAGGCATAAGTGTATTTAGGAGGGAGGTGAAGAGGGACCCAACACTTGTGACTACATCAAAGCATTAACCCAAGGAAACAGCATTTGGGTTTTCAGCAGCTCAGCTGTTAGGCACAGCTTTACATTTTTTGTGTCCTCAGCATCTGTCTGTCATGCTTGCAACAAGAAGGATTACTTATTGAGCAAGCCTGCAGTGTACGTACGCTAATCTGCGAGTCCTTCCTGAAATTTAAATGGTATCAGCAATGATGGCATTGGCAATCTGTTTTAAACATTATTAAAGTTTAGTTTATTAATAGTGGGTTTTGATGGACTAGAGGTTAGGAGAGTAGCTAATCCTTGGGTGTAGGCACACTACACCTTCTGTAGAATTTCAGATGGTATCTACTTTGAGATTGGTTTGAAACCAGTGCAGTTTGCCTTCAGTATGCTCTGCTTAAAGCATTACAGAAATGCTTTTGGCTCTCTTGTTCCTGTGCAATGCTGTATAATAAGAACACAGAACATGATAATTCAATCACAGCAATGGAGAATATTTTTCAAAACCGCAAAATCATAATGGCAGAATGGAGCTGACAGAATGACCTCAGCAAAGTCACTTTTGCAGAGGAAAAGCATTTAACTGCTGCACTCTAAATTTATCTGTACATGAACACACTGTGTTACAGCTAAAAAATGCTTATTTCTAAATCTCCAGTCTGAGAACAAATAACAGGCACTCTAAGACTCAAAATGATCATATGCCCACCTGGGCAGCAGAAAGGGAAGGTATGCATTCACACCACACTGGCTTTTCAGTGCTAAATCCCAGAGGAGGTTGAACTGGTGCAGCCAGAGCAATGTGGCTACTGCATTCAGACCCACAAATTCCTTTGGAGGCTCAAAAGATAAGGTCTCTTCTACAAACCCTCTCGACTTTGAGGCTTTCAAGGGTCTTTCCTCCCCCCTTGGACCTGTTGCAAAGACAGTGCAGTTCAGGCTCTCAGCAGGCATTGAGAGTGAAAAAGCTGCTTGGCCATAGATGTAGGACAGGCACATCAGGCAGTGACCACCTCATGTAGACCAAAAGCTATGATTTAGGACCAAAGGCAGGTCCTGATCTTGAGAGGGCTTGACAAACCTTCCCCAGAAGCTAAATGCTTTTATTCCTGCTACCAGCTTCTAGTTTGCCTCCACATCTGCTGCAAGATCTGAAAACTGCTGCTTAGAGCTTCATACTTGGTCTTCATTTTTCATTACAGTCTACTGTTTCACCTCAAAAAGGTTTCTGTTTCATGCTGCTCCTTATTTGCCATATTTATCCAGCTGCTGCACATTCAGTTGACTGACACCCCTTCAGTAGGGCCTCCACTCAAGCAAATGCTATTTTGCAGTGGAGCAAATATTGAGGAGAAGAAGAATTCCCAATCCTTGATGCTGGAGGCTCAAGATTAGGCTCACCTCAAACCTGTTTTCTTTTGTATTTCTAAGACAAAATAATTTTTCTGCTGATTTTTAAGAAGGCATTTTTGACTCAGTGATTGACAGCACTTTCAGCAAGGCATTTTCACATGGAGCAAATGATATTTAACAGTTATTTTATTACTTCCCTGGGCCCTCAAAGAAAACAAGGAATACAAGAATACATCAGTTACAAGTGTTTGCTTTATCTTGTGCTGCTCACTTAGGATCTTTCAAGTCAGGATCTCATTTTGCTGAAACACAGAGTCAGTTATAATAACATGACATCCCTGGAATAGTCTAATCCTATTCCAAAGTGGATCTTCCCATTAAGAATGATCAATCTAATGAGATACAGCAAGCTACAGGGAGCAGACACAGACTAACCACATTAGCTGCTTTTATGGAAGTATTTTTAAAAAGAACTATTTTGCTCTGCAGTTAGAAAAGACCAAGCTTTTAGCTGCATTGAGTGAATGAATACCCCTCTCATTAGCTTCTGGCTTCCAAGACATTTTCTTTTTAAATTCAGTCTATTTGTTTGGACCAAAGTATGTTTTCTCTTTTACAACAGTTGGCTAGAAGTGTTTCAGGCACGCAACTGGGATAATCAAAGCTGTATTATTCTCCCTGGCAAATTCTTAATCATGCATTTGATATACTAGTCAGCCTAAAGGGAGGTGGTTTCAGGCTAGCATTTTTAGAAGTGGATAACATTGTTATTATTTTTCCCCTCCCTGCTTGATTCAGAGGAACCAGAGTTCTGTCAATGCCAGGAAATCTGAACAGCCTTTCAGAGCAGCTCAATCTTGGCTGCTTCTCAAAGAGCACCAGGGTAGAAGAAATAAATGATTTTGCAATAGAGGAAGGCTTTCTGAAGAAATGGTTTGCACTAGAAAAAGGCCAATTGAACCAACTTTGGGCATTTTGTAGGATGTGTGGATTTCATTGACTCTTTTACTGGAAAGCAGGTCAATGTCACTGGCAAGGCTGCCAGGCTTCTTGCCAGCCTGCCTGCCATGCCATGGAGCAGTTATCCCAGAAACCTGTCTGTCCCAGCCCCAGCCCGGGGCTCCGAGGTCCCCAGGGTGCAGCAGTGAATCCTACAAGGACTGTCTTTTTTTAGGGCTTGGTCTTGGTGGCATGCAGTGACACGGAGGGACTGCCATTCTGGGGTCTATGATTTTGGAGGGGCTTCCCCACATCCTGCCAGAGGGTGAAAGAAACAAACAACTCTGCATGTCCAATAGCTTGAGAGTCCATGGAGTAACAAAGGAAAAAAGATGGGCTATTTGATCTGAGAATTTCCCAGGGAACAAAATTCCAAATTCCTATTAGTTCTTCCAGAAGTGTAAATGTCCACATGCTCCCTAATGTCTACAAGCTATATATCTTCATGACACAATTAAATTGTGCTCATTACTCAGCCTATATATGTACTATAAAGTGGACTTCAAAAAAAAACAAGAAAGCAATGTACCTTGTTCAAAGGACTAATTACAAGGGCCAGATTCTGTATTACAATGCACAAAAGTGAGGACAAGTTGGTTTAAAAGAAGAGAGACATTAAAATATTAGCTTAATGATGTAGCAGTGTTTTTCATACAGGTGGTTTTAAAATACACTTAACAGGGTTCACACAGACTACGAACCTATGTTATTGTAATATGTCTATATTAGTTCAATACAACCATGTAAGGGTGAAAGACAGTCCAGACTTTTGTGCAATTAGTCATAATGCTGACTTTGCTTGGCTGTACTGCCTTTGAAAGCGGGCCCTGTTATTTTGCGGTCACAGTTTGCAGGGCATGGCACAGTGAAGGCAATCTGCAACAGTTGGTATCTCCCAGATTTTGTTATGGTTTGTCCTACTGATGTGATTTACTGATAGTATCACTGCAAACTCCAATACCTTGCAATGGGTGGAGCTTATTGGAATACCCACATTTGAGGCTACAAGTACCGTTAGCGCACACATTACTTCAATGCAAAATCCACTGTGAAGAAATAAAAAAAAAAAAAAAGACAGATGGAAAACCTGTAGTAAAAGAGTTATATGCAGGAAATCCCATGCCATGCACTTATCAAGAAAGTCAAATATAAATGATGAATGGTGCGCAGCCTCTGAACAAGGGAGAAATGTTACCCGACCAGGTTCAAATGGCACCGTCAGAGGAAACCAGGCTCTTCCTCGCAATCATTTGCTTTTAAATTGAGGTCAGGCTTTTGTAAGCACTATTTTTCGTCACCAGCAGCTATGGAGTTTATTCTGTGGCCAATTCCAGTGACTTTACTGTGACAACTCCAACGCATTTTCTGGAAGCCTGATTACTTTCCCACGTTGCTGGCGTGACCAAGATGTGCTGATGCACCCCTACCTAACCATCCTCTGTCAGCGGCTGTTTTCCCCTCACCGTGCCATTATCCCTGGCTCGAGCAGCACAATTTTAAGATGAATAGTCCAGACTGCCTTGACTGCAGTCGCTGGGCAAAGGCATACCTTGCAGTGTGTAGTACTGACAGGAAGTCCAACATTGGAAGCTACCACAACTGTGAACGCCGAAGCCAACTCAATAGTGAATCCACTGCGGGAAGCATAAGAAAACACTTCACAATCACTCTTTGCATCAGCTCGGACTGATACCATGCAGCGTGCCAAAGTCTTACCCGTTTCTTCTTTCGACTGTTTTATCTCCAAGTGATTTTTGTCATGTGAGTAAGTTAAGAGAACAAGAAAGTTCTTGAATAATAGGAACAGCACAGTCATCTGCAGTACCCCGTCTGCACGGCTCATTGTGTCAGAGACCTTCACTACTCTATGCTGCGGTGAATCGTGCCTAATTAGTAATTCAGTTAAGCACCAGCAGAGGTCGAGTATGCATTAAAGACAAAAATTACTGTAATGAATACATATGAGTTTAATGGTCTCAAGCACACTGGGAAAGCCACTGTAATCTCGCCATTGCCAAATGCACCTTCTACCACGCTAATTAGGTACTGCTGTCTGTTCCTGCAGACCTCTATGCCGTAAACACATTCAGTATTACAGGGTTATCTTTTTTCCTTTCTCTCTTTTTCTTATGCTTTCTTTTTCTCCTTTTTCGCTTATTTCTTTCACTTTTTTTTTAGAAAGAGGGAGACATCAAAGCCAGGTTATCATTAAAATCAAAGCACAGCAAATCCAGCAAACTGCATTACAAACCAAATACTGGAGCAGCAATTTCTCAGACTGCCTCACACACAAAGTTCACACAACCACAATGACACCTGTGGACCTACCTCGATGGTGTGATTGGAGTGAGGTCTTTACCCATAGTCTGGATAACTCTTCTTCCCCAGACCCAGAGGCCCACACAGATCCCAACACCTCCATAGAACAGCAGCCAGATGGGAGTCGATGCTTCCTGCATTACGGCACCTTGCTCGTAGATAAGCCAGAGTGCGACAAGGGGACCGATGGCATTGCTGGAGAAACAGAAATGTGTCACCTGAGTCACAAAAATGCAGAGAGTTGCCTTGAAAGAAGTCTCTTATTTTCTGCATGATTTTTCTTCATCATGGGTGTATCACTACTCCAACTTGATCCTACAGGATCAAGTACCTTTCACCCTTTCTCACTTGGAAAGGGTGCAGCAGGCGACTCTTATCATGTTGCTTTTTCAGTTGTTACTTCCTCACTGATAACTAGAGCAAGGCCTGAAAGGAATTTCTCTTTTACAAATAGTTTCCTGAAATGTCAGAGTCAATAGTACCTTGTTATGTCTGTTCTGTGACAAAAATCAGTATTTTCAGTACTACACTGAAACTATCTCAAAATTGACCAATTGAGCAGGTGTGCATTTTTAAAATTCAACTATCAAATCAGCTCTTTTTGTCAAAGAGGGGAAAATAATGAGCCAAATTATCATCACAGACAAGAATATAGAAATATTATCTAGTTTGACACCTTGTACCATTCACGATATGATCTGAGTGCAGCTGGGAAGGTGACTTAGTCACCTTCAAAGGTGTTGCAGAGTGAGTTGGACTGGATCAGAGAGGAGCCTTTGTGACACAGAGCTGGTGTAAGCCCTTTTTGCTGCTACTATCTGGAAAAACATTGGAAGTCAGCAACACTGAAGTCCCCACTCTTAATGCAGGTCATCTGATACTGGTGTCTGGAGTCAGACTTCTGACTCTGTTTATTCTAAAAAAGCATCAAGTTTCTAGACAGAAACTTCTAGCTAGAAGAAAAGTAGAAAGCCAGTATCCAATTACTTTGGAGGCCTAAGTACTAAAAAGCAGATAAGAATTTCAACATCCTTTTTGTTTTCAGATCTTTTAATAAACCAAGTAGCTGCTTGCCTGGCTGAGCAATATTTATTCACCACCCAAAAAGTGTAATTAGTGAAGCAGTGCTATATTTATGCCTAAATAATCATGACAAGAGCAGAACAAACCGACCAATGTCATTCCAAAAATCTGAAAACTGTCAGGGAAGCTCCCCTCTTTGTAAACCAATAGGAAAGCAGGTCACAGTGAGCACCACGGGCAGGACTGACAGCCATGCTCACCCTGGAGCCAGGACCTGCTAAAATTAGTTCCTGGTTCCACTCCAAAGCACACAGATGGAGTAAGGGCCAGTTTTAATGTCAAATGTTGTGCAAATCAGGCCACTGTATATGCCAGTTAATAATCTCCTTGAATCCCGTCTTTACCAGATATGAGGTGCCAGGGGCCGAGTGGTGATTGCCAAGAGACAAGGGTCAGCAGCAGTGCAAAGCTGGCTCATCTCAGCAACACGAGACCCTCCTGCTTTCATCTGGCCCCTGAGAAATTGAGCTCTGAACTCTGAGAAGTGATCCTGAAGCAAAGGAATAAGGAAACACTTTTCCCTCATAAACACACACAGCAACATTCAAGCTGCGAGGGAAACAAAAATAGTTAAAAATGCCCTTTGCTATAAAAAAGAATTACTAATTGTTATGGATTTTGAGTAAGATCCTGAAAATAAATTAGTGAGCTAACATGAATAATAAAATCCAGTTGGTTTGAAGATGCTGAGTAGTACAATGAAGAACTAAAGACTCTAAATAAAGAGTAATTTCCACTAGCTAAAACACTTTAGAATTCTGGTCTGATACTGTGCCCAAGTAAGCATTCAATTTGTTCAGTTTTGGAATGACAGTATATGAAAAATCCTTAGGGCCTAAATGCAAGAATTATTTTACTTCCATGGAAGAAGAGTTTATTGACTGAAGCATTTCTAATATTTTGAAATCAACCTGAAAATGCTTTTCCAGTTTTTCAGGTATGGATTAAATTACTTGCACATTTAAATGCCTTCTTGGGCACAGAAAGAGAAAGGTAATTCAATGTACAAAGGTACATGGATAAACTGATGGATGCTGACAGATGGATAAAGGCAAATAATACATTGATCAGATTAATAAGGGCAAAACTGATCATCCCTTTTTAAAGTGCTGTATGACATGGAAAAAAACCTCCATGTTGAAAATAACAGGTACATCTGGAGTGAGCTCAGGCACTGATTCCTGACTGTTCTGAAGAGATTATGTATATGTATTTGTCAATCCCAATGTAAATGAAAAGGCAGAAAAGGTTTCCAAAACTGCAGCAGCAAACTATGCTCTTCCATACCAAAACCTAGTTTTAATTATTTGCAAGTACTACACCTGAATCAACAAAGCTTAACCCTTAAGGAAAAGGCTCTTATTTGTGGCAAGGGAAGACAAGCCAAAACTCTGCCAACTTATGCTCAGCCCCAGAGAATCTGAGTGGCCGATTCTGTCCAATAGATCAGAAGAGATAACACTGCTGCCCACAGAGGCAGCATTTCTGATACCTCCCTGTAAGAAAATAAAGCCAAACAGCAGTGGATGTGCTGATGACAGGCTTGGAAAGGTAAAAAGGTAAAAACTAACCTCATTTTCCTTTGTGGGTGTCTGCATCACTGTTTATCTATACCAAAGGGACATTTTTCCTCTCCCAGTAAATCATGTTCTATGTGACTTAAATGTTCAGCTCTTAAGAATAGTGCCATCTCCCAGCCTGAATATCTGCAAGTGGCTACAAACAGCAACAACAGTGGCTTGAATCTAAGCATCATAAAAGCTTTCCAAAGGGCTCCTTCAGCTTCTACACTTGTTCAGGAGGTGCAGTCCAAGGGGCTTGTGGTATCAATGGTCCCTATGCCAATGGAAAACAGCTCTAGAAGAAGCTGCTAGGCCTGTCCCACCATGAAACTGCCAAAAGCTCACAGCAAATGGGTCTGACTCAAGCACTGCAAAGACTATGATCTTCTGCATTGTTAGATAAGAGAGTTTGCTTAACAGATGTCTCCTACAGCTGAGTGACTAACCAGCTGAACCTCAAGGATGCTGGCTAGATTGGGATGTGGCATTCAGAGTATTTCCCACTGGGTCTAGCTTTGATTCCAGACATGACTAGCAGGAAAGCAGACCTCAGATCTTCCATGCATTTGGCTAAGACTCATTTCACAAGTCTGTTTTCAAGAAACTATTTTCTCTCACTCTCCCACAAAGCTTTCTACTTACCTTAACTAACTCTCCTTTGCGCTGGAGCTCCACATCTTATCCATGGTAGTTTAGAGAAGAAAAAAGCCTGAGATGGTCACACAGGGGCTCTGAACCCCCATCTACATCTATCTACATATAAAACTGCCCTCAGGTTCCTATGAAACAGAAGTGCTTCAGAAAATCTGCTGTATTATCTAGCTATTGGTTTTAAAACAGAAAATAAGCTGCTCCTGTCATGGTATTACTTTAATTTTGCACACCTAATACACATTTTCCCACTGAGCACAAAGTGGGGTGGCCAATAGGAGTTAATTTTAGGATGAGTTTATAAAATGTTATGGCATAAGAAGCCCATCTCCTGAGTCTGCCTGCTGCAGAGTGTATTCTCCACCATCCAGCCCTTTTCCTCATCTCTGCTGGGCTCCCCCAGCTGCCCAGGGCACAGGGCTTTGCAGCTGGGGTGCTGCACAGGGGCTGTTTGCTTTCCTGGAGGTGCAGTGCAGGATTTACTGCCACCCACAGCAGTAGTTGCAGTGGCAGATGTGCTCTGTGGTGGCTCACTGAAGGGCTGCTCCGTGGGTCTGCAGTGCTGCCTGACCCTCGTGATGATTCTGCCGGCGCTCTCGACTAACGTGAATTGGCACAGTTCTTCTTTTTCTGCTCGCTTGTGCCAGTTTAGAATCTGTCACACAGCATTTATAAAACTGTTGTGAAAGATAGCATTTGACAGTGAATCTGAACTATAAATAGAGCTGGCTTCTCCTCTCCCCTGTGAGACAGATAGTATTACCAACAAAAATAACCACCCCACATTCAGCTATCATGAGGCAGGCTCAGAAATGACAGTTTCCCATGCACACACATACACACACAAGCAGAAAATTTTAGGCACCTTTTGGTCACAAGTCCAAGACCTTTTCTGAAGGAATAAGGACCAACAGTTTTGGTTTGTTTTTGTTTTTTTTTAATAAAAAGTAAGGGGTCTTCTCCCAGTAGCTCAGCCATCAGCTGAATGCTCTATGGCCAAACCCCAACAAACTTGTCATAACATACTATGAAGTAGCAATATTGCTATTTCCTTGCTGTTGTTTGAGGGGAGTAGAGAGGTGCCCAAAAAGAAAATCTAACTGTATTTGAGAACTACACTCTGAATATGCTTTGTGAATAATGTATAGACCCCTTGATGGCCATGCTTAGGTTCTCTGCTGCCTGAAAAAGGACACTGCTTTTTAGCCACTTCTTCTAGGTGAGTGAAAGAATCTTGAAACGTACATTATCACAAACTAAAGCTGAATGACAAGCAAAACAGCCACCTGAGAAATCTGTATGAGGTGTCCAATGTTACAAGTATAATTACAAAATGTCCAGCCACTTGACTATTTCCCAAACCAGGATTTCACAACAAACCTTCTACTGGGAAAATATTTCTAAATAGGCTGCAGTTATGCCTTGAGCCATCACCCAGCTAGAGTGAAAGCTGAGTGAAAGAATGAAAGAAAGATACTCCTGTACATAGCAACAGGGAAAAAAAACATGCTCTATTCTCCAAGGATATCAGATAATCAGGAGAGTTTTAGCCTACTTCAAAAACTGGGCAGTCTTGAAATAATGCGTCTACCACAGCACAATAGAAGTGTGTCAGAGCCATACCCTGTGAAGTGCAGCTTTGGGTGTGTTAATGAGTCAGGGGGGACGTGCTTTTATTCCTGCAGCTCATCTCTGTGTCCTGCAAATACCAGCCCTAAAACCCCACCTCCCTGGGTCCTGGAGGGTTGGGTCCGTGCCCACCAGCATCAGCTTTTCCCCTGGCAAGCCCAGCCATGAGCCCTGCTCATGGGAAGGGATTCCCATGCCCACTGGAGACCTCATTTCTCGCTGCTCGTCTCTAACTTGCCTGCATGGCACTACAAAAATGTCCTGCATATG